ATAGTAACACAATTTAACTAATTGGATGAGATTCACCTATATTATGGTAGGTCATCTGCTTTCTTCAAAGTCTATTGATTTAAATGTTAATCTTGCCTAAAAAGAATACCTTCATAGAAATATCTGTAATGTTTGACCAGACATCTGGGTACTCTGGCCTTGCCAAACTGACATATAAAATCAATTATCACAGAATCTTTTCTATCCAACTTTCCAAATCTTCAGACTCATCTCTGTTGTTCAGATTTGGTTTAGACACCAATTTCTTTGAGAGCCTCCTGTTTTCAACGTTGGGGTTATTACCTCCCCTTTGGGCCCCACATATTACCCTATTCTTATTCAGAGCACAGAATTATTTTATCACAAATGCCTATTTTTGCAGTCTCATTTCTCACACCAGGAGCTGCATGAACTTCTAAATTATTCACTCTTGTAACTGCATCTCCTCCATAGTACCTGACACCTAAGTGTTGCTCCTTAAATATTTATTGAATTAATGAGTCCTATGTGCTTCCAGTTTCTACCGTTGTAGCCCACCTTTTCTTTCTCTCTTCTGTCTCCATAAACAGAGTGGTAACTAGACCTAATATGCTTTTGCCCCAGCACTCAGTATGCCAAGTTTTAAAATTACTATTCAGTTAGTTCAATAGAACATTCTTTTTTTTTTTTAAGAGAGAGAGAGAGAGAGTTTATTAATATTTATTTTTTTTTAGTTCTCGGTGGACACAACTTCTTTGTTTGTATGTGGTGCTGAGGATTGAACCTGGGCCGCACGCATGCCAGGCGAGCACGCTACCGCTTGAGCCACATCCCGAGCCCTCAATAGCACATTCTTATGGTTTGAAATGTTTTATCCCTCAAAGATCATGTGCTGGAGCTTGGTTCATAATGTAAATGGTACTGAGAGGTGGTAGAATCATTATGAGACAGGACATGTTGGCAAGCAATTAGGTCATGGAGATACCACCTTTAGAAGGGATTAAAGGCCATCTTGCAGGAGGGGCTAGTTCTTGCAGGACCGGATTAGTTACTGCAAGAGCAGGTAGTTATAAAGTGAAGATAACCCATGTGTCTTGAATATGCTCCTGTTGTGTGATGTCATTCACAGGAAAGCCCTCACCAGATGTGACCACCTGATCTTGGTGGTGATCAGCCTCTACAACAGGAGTTAAATAGACCTTTTATAAATTAACCCAGCACTTTTTTTGTTATAGCAACAAAAATTGAACCAAAATACACATGCACGATGTATTACTAAGTTTAACACCTAGTTAGCAAGAATAATTAGTTAAAATAGGAAGTTACCAGATGGAGAGTAATATCAATAGCAGTCATATGTGAGCTGAGAAATGAATTACAAAGTTGATTTGAGGGCATGTTTTAGGCTGGCAGTAGTTCCAGCTCTGTCTGGACATTTCCACTGCACATAGTACCTTTTAATGGCAGAACTATTAACTTTACATGTGGGTATGAAAAGTAAAATATACTCACATGAGGAAGTTATGGCTAGGATAGAATGTGGACGTGCTTTTCTATCCACAGAAAGGGGCCAATCCTCAACCATGCTATTTCCTTCTCTTTCTTTACTCCTGTGCTTCCTTCAAATATCCCTGAGTCTCATTTCTCAGAGACTTGAAGCATATGAGGAGGAGTCAGGACAGCAGCACCCAAGAGGAGGCTCAGCTTCCTGCCCACCCATGGGACTCTCTCAAGGGATGGTATTGGTGAGGGTCATATGGCATGTCTCGGGAAGTTCCTGCTCTGCCACCTACAGGGGCTTAGGACTCCTCCATTCAGCGGGAAAAAGCAGTAATGGCTATCTCAGTTATAAAAAGAATGCCCTCTGGAAGTTCAGGAGGCCTTATAATTGAGTGCCACTAGGAAAAATATTACCTCCTTTGCTGAGAGAATAATTTCAGTCTCTACTCTGTCACATTCTCCATACACCCCCAATTTATCAACCACAGAGACTTTGAAATGTATTAAGAGGCATGAGGTTTCTATTTCAGCTGAAGGAAAAAAAAAATGTCATCAACGAGGAAGCCAAGCTGGTACTCAGAGGATCAAGGGAGATCCTCGCATCCGCCGGCCCCTCAGTCTGATGATTTATAAAAAGATTGCTTTTGGGCTAATCTGGTATCACTTTGTCTTTAGGTGTGAAGGACTGGAAAAGAATAAACTTGTTAGCTGAAGAAACCCTGAATGGAGAGGGGCTTGAGTGGGAGGTGTCAGCAGGGAAGGTGCGATTGGCTGTCTGTAGGCCATCTGTGTGTGTCGGGGGAAATGCTGAGAACTCATGAGAAGGAAGGAGGACAATGTGGTGCTGGGGCTGCCTCTTCAGATCAAATCCCACATGATCCAAGGATGGATGGAGCTGCCTTGGGGAGGGGAAATGCCATTTTATCCTTGGTGCACCAAGTGTTTCTATTTCCCATGGCCGCTGTGACAAAGTGCATTAAAAGAAAGCAAGGTCATAAGAGGAAAGTGTATCAGCAGGGCTGCATCCTGCTGGAGGTTCTAGGGGAGAAACTGTCTCTTTACCTCTCCCAAATTCTAGAGGCCATCTAGTTTCCTTGGTTTGTGACCCTCTGTCATCCATCTTCATTGCAAGCAGAGGACTTTTCAAATCTGTGGTCTCTGCTTCCATCTCCACAGCTCCTCTCCCTGGATCCTTCTACCTTCCTCTTAGAAAGATGGTTGTAATGACATCGGGCCTCTTCATGTACTCTAGGGTAATCTCTTAATCTGACGATCTTTAAACATGTCTGCAAAGATCCCTTTTGCCAAGAAAGGAAATGAATGCACAGGTTGCAGGGATTAGAATGTGAGATATCTTTGGGGGCCATAATTCAGTCTCCCATATCAAGGCTGTGAAACTCAGCTATGTTTCCATGGTGACTTTTGGGTCAAGAGCTTCCACGGTGGTCATTGCTCTCATGGCCTGTAATTCTCTTCCCTGTTTCCTGGATTACACAGAGCTGGGTGAGGATCAATTGTCAAACCACGGCCTACCTTGGAGCTGTGTTCACCCATCTTATTTTTGGTACTGGGGAGTAAGCCCATGGCACTGAGCTATATCCCTAGCCCTTTCTACTTTTTTTTTTTGAGGCAGGTTCTCAATAATTGCTGAGGCTGACCTCAAACTTGTTATCCTCCGCCTCAGCCTCCCAAATTGCTGAGATTATAGGTATGCACCACAATAACTATTCCATTTTATTTTTTATTTTTGGTACTGGGGATTGAATTCAGGGGCACTAGACCACTGAGCCACATCCCCAGCCCTATTTTGTATTTTATTTAGAGACAGGGTCTCACTGAGTTGCTTATTGCCTTGTTTTTGCTGAGGCTGGCTTTGAACTTGTGATCTTCCTGCCTCAACCTTCCAGGCCGCTGGGATTATAGGGGTGCAGCACTGCGCCCGACTCCCTGTTTTATTTTTAATCTAAGAAAACAATAAAGAAGTATTAATGTCAAGTCACAAAATGTCCGAATCAAGGGTATCTAAGACACTGTGTGATCCAATTCTCTTCATCTTATACCTGAGGTGCAGAGAGTCTGATACAACCTGTGAAGGTCAATAGCTAGTAAGTGAACAAGAGATGTGCACCTACTTCCTACTTCTCATGACGATGCCTTGCTTGGGAATTAGGCTCCAGCCTTAGTCGCTATGTGATTTTGCCATTCCTCGATCCAGGTGAAATGGGGTTAATAACAACACATTTAAAAAAACACAAGAAAAACAAAAGTTAAATTTCAAGAAGTTTACTGATCTAAGGCAACTACTGTTTACCAATGGGGCTGATGCAGAAAATGACAGAATAGGGCCAACTGGATTGAAACTAAGGATGAAGACATTTTTTTCTTAGGTTCAGAAATATGCCTAAGGAATAGACCCGAAATAAGCATGGAGGGAAAAGTCTAGCTTTTTTTTTTTTTTTTTTTTAAATGCTGGTTAATAGAAAAAAGTATGGGTGTCAGATGTTGTCCTAAGTCCCAAGAAAAAAAGTTTATTGATATTTACCTTTTGGATTTTTCAAACTGCTGAAAATACAGATAAAAACAACTTTTTAATTTTTTGTGGCACTAAGAACTAAACCCAGGGCCTCCTGCTAGGCAAGTGCTTAACCCCTGAGCTACATTCCCATCCCTTTTCATTTTTTGTTTTGAGACAGTCTCACCAATTGGCTTAGGGCTTCACTAAGTTGCTGAGGCTGGTCTTAAACCTGTGTTCCCCCTGCCTCAGTCTCCCGAGTAGCTGGGATTACAGGTGCGCACCATTGTGCTTGTGCCTTTAAAATTCTTTACGGATTAAGAACATATTCCTGTGCTTAACTAGGACTGTGGAATCTACCAATATTAGATAAAGCACTTAAGGCATGGAAACCCAGAATTTATACAAATCCTGATGCAGATGGGAGAAAGAAGTGCCCTCCTTCTACCTGCTTCAGTTCTTTGCCATTTGGGTTTATAGTTCCCACAGGCCTGGTTTATTGATCTACAGCTTATTTTTCCTATGCCATTTGTTAAGTCAGTTTCTTCTCTACTATAAATCAGGAGACAATGCAGTTTCTTTTGGAAACCAAACGAACACTCTTAGTTCACTTGGCATTTTGTAGTACAATTAATTTGTAAATGTATTTAACAGTATAGGAATATTTAGGGAAATAGATTAACTAGAGATGATGTGCATAGTTGGACTTGGAAAATAACTAACATTTTCACCTCTTTGTAGCCTTGATATGACCATTGGCAGGAAGAGAAATTAAGCAGAAGGAAGAGAAGAGGGAGATGGTGTTGAAAGGGATGTTTCTGAGATGAGTGGGAGGTGGTGGGGGAGGAGTTGGGCACATGGAATGCCAAAATCCATTTCGGATCATAAGCTGGATGACCTGTAAAGTTTGAGATTTTTAAAGGATCTTCAACTGATGGTAGATGCCATCTTGTGAAAAACCAGTCAGGCTTGGAGTCTGATCAGTCAAGGTTGGGTAAAGGCCACTTCCTCAGAAATTACACATAGAACGAGAGCAGCAGTGAGTAGAGTGAATTTCATAAGCAAATACCCTTCTCTGGAAGCATTGGGCCGAGCTCTCCGTGCAGCCTTTAATTGAATACCATTGAATGCCACCTAAAGGAGAGAAGAGGTAGAGACAGGGGAATATCTTGAGATGTACGATTTTCCTTGTCTCAGATGCTTCAGCTAACTAACATATTAGAAATAAATAAATAAAGCAAAACAAAACAAAAACACTAGGTTTATCAAGATATACAAATCTAGTGTCCATAGTACTGGGAACAGTTCATTTTGTCATCTGGCCTTTCAATACTCTCACTTAAACTATTTTAGTTGGGTACATTGCAATACCCAGGCCTTGAAATTGTCGAACAAAACGGCTTTCCAACTCAGATTATAAAAGCCATGTAATTGCTATTGACTGTATAGAAATTTCTGAAGTGTTAGCTGTTCGGAAGCTTGCTGATAATCATCTTCCAGTTTTACCCAGGTCATGAGTTATTTACAGGGCTAGATCCAAAGAAAGATAGGTAGATGTGTGTTTTTCAGAAAAGGCGGCTTATTCGTGACTCCACTAATTTTCTTCCCCCCTGGTTAAAGAAGTGATGAACATTTTTCTGTAGAAAGGGCTGTGGATCAATCCTTTAATACATGACCCTTTGGGGGACATTCAAAATCCACACTAGCAACTCTCCTCCATAACAAATAATTAACTGCCCCAAATGTTGATAGTGCCAAAGTTGAGAAACTTTGTTAATAAAACTATCAAAAATTAAAATTTTAGATTTGTTTGTTTCATATCAGTGTGGAATGGCAAAATTTCCAGGTTAGGAAACTCTTCTTCCCATGACATTTTAGTCACTCCAGGTCTTTCCCACCACAGTTATCACTGATGTTTTGCTCTGTAAACTTCTGGGCTCCTTCTTATGCACAGAGTCCTTTCCTATTGGGATGTCAGTCAGACTAGATGACTCTGTCCATGTTCAGGAATCGAAGAGCAATGCCTGAGAACCAATCTCCATCTCCCAGTTTTACCCAGTTCACGGGATATTTACAGGGCTGGAACCACAGCAGGATTATGTAGAAGTGTGTTTCTCAGTAAAGGAGGCTTTTCATGACCCCACTTCTTCCCCTCTAGTTAAAGAAGTGATAAACATTCTCTGTAGAAAATGTGAAGAATGAACAAAAGTGCAAAGCACAAGGGACCTTGGTACTGTGCCCTGTCAATAATGATGGGGCTCTGACTAACGTGGAGCAGAGAGAGGGGAGGTAGGCTATCAAGTGTGAACAGAGAGTGATAACCCTTTTAATTGCAAATCCCCTCCAGATGTGACCCATGATTCTTTTTCTTTCTCCCAACTATTTTGACCTCCTTTAATGTTTGTTCTTCCTTTCCAATTTCTGGAGGTGGGGCCAGGTGGGACAGTGTTAGGTCATTGGTGGGGGGGTTCACCCTTGAAGGGGATATTGGGACCCTAGCCCATTGATTTTCTTTTTTTTGCTTCCTGGCCACCATGAGGTAAATGGCTTCCCCTGTCATGTTCTCCAACTAAGAAATTGCAGAAATGTAGAGTTTTGCTTTGTTGATTTGTATTTATATGTAGTATTCTGTATGTACTACTGTTTTACAGCTAATCCCCCCCAATCCCCCAGCTGTCTGTAATGTTTTCGGTATCATGTTAAAAAAAACAGATCTAGTTCATTCTAAGCATTCAATTGCTTGAACACCACATAGTTCAACAGCTTGTTGTAGGTGAGCCTTCAGGCCAATTCCACTGCTTTGCTGTTAAACACAATGCTGTAATAACAACTTTGATGCATATAAATATTTCTCTGCGGCAGATACCAAGAAAAATAATTGCTTTGAAGAGGGCTATGCTCATTTAACATTTTTCTTTATTTTTTAATTTTTTTAAAGTTGTCAGTGGACCTTTATTTATTCATATGCAATGCTGAGAATCAAACCTAGTGCCTCACACATGCTAGGCAAGCACTCTACCACTGAGCCATGGACCACAGCCCATCATCTAACATTTTAATAAAAATTTGCAAATTATCTAAAAAAAGGTGTAACCAATCTAAATTGCCATTGGAAATGTATGAAACTTCCCATCTCTCCACACTATCATGAAACCTTAATATAATAAATTTTTGTATTTAACAATTTGATGGGTTAAAAATATTACATATATTTCTGTAATTTGCATTGCCTTGATTTTTACCAACAAGTTTGAGCATTATTTTTGCTTTTAGGCATATTTATATTTTCTCTTTCAGGAATTGCCTTCATATTTTCTTTAACATTTTTTTCCCTGATAGTTGGTATTTTTTAAAAATTTGTTTTCTAGAAATTCTTTATTCTGAATAAATGTTAATATATTTTTTCTATTATCTATGTTCCAACTATTTCTTCCCATTTTATTCCTTATGTTTTACACATTGGAGTTTTAAAAATAAATTTAAACATTTTTATATATTTAAATTTATCTATCATTTCCTTATGAATTTTGGAATTGGGATGTTAAGGAGACCGTCTCTTTTTCAAACTCAATATATGTGTCCTTTCATATTTTCTTCTAGTTTTAAGTCATGTGAATTTTTATGCTTAACTTTATTATTTATTTATTTATTTATTTATTTTTGTGGTGCTGGGGAGGGAACTTAGGGCCTCACATATTCTAGGCAAGTGCTCTGCCACTGAGCTATGTCCCCAGTCCTTTCTTTAGGTTTAACTTTTTAGTCCAGGTGGACCAGGTCAGATTCACTGGCATGTAGTTTGTGAAGTGGCTCAGGGCCCCATGTTTACAAGGGTTCTGTAAATTAACTATTATTTTTTTTAACATGTGAATAGTTTAAATGAGGCCATATAGAAATTTATCAGTGCTCCAGACTCATACTCCATGCATTTAAATCTTGGCTACAACACTCATTAGCTGTGTAACTTTGTACAAGTTATTTAATCTGTGCCTCAGCTTTCTCATCTTTAAAATGGGAATAGTGATAGCCATGTCCAGCAGATGTCAGTGTATTGCTGGTGAACGTTTGTTGTTATAAAGGTTTTCCCTTATAACTTTTTTTGGTGTGTTTGTGTGTTGCTGGGGATTGAACCCAGGACCTTGTGCATGCGAGGCAAGCACTCTACCAACTGGACTATATCCACAGCCCTCCCTTATAACTTTAATATGTGTATATCAAGTGTCCAGACTTATCTTTACTGCCAAAAACACATGCTGGAAAAAGATAGCCTTTTTAATATACAGGGCTGGGAAAACTGGATATACATAAGTAGAAGAATGAAATTAGATCCCCGTCTCTCACTCTGCATAAAAGTCAGATCAAAATGGATCAAAGACCTAGGAATTAGACCAGAAACCTTGCAGCTGTCAGAAGAAAACACAGGGTGAACAGTCTATCATATAGGTGCAAGCACCAACTTTCTCAACAAGACACCTACAATGCAAGAAATAAAATTGAGAATCAATAAGTGGGATGCTGAAAGCTTTTAAAAAGCTTTTGCACAGCAAAAAAAAAAAAAAAAAATGTGAAGAAAGCCAACAGAATGGGAGAAATTCTTTGCCACATAGGGGATTAATATCCAGAATATAGAAGAACTTAAAAAACTCAGTGCCCAAAAAAAGTAAAATCCCAAAACAAACAACAACAACAAACTAAAGCCCCATTCAAAAAATGGGAAGGACTAAATAGAAATTTCTCAAAAGGAAGAAACACAAATGCCCAACAAACATGAATAACTGTTCAAAATCTCTAGCAATTAGGGAAATACAAATTAAAACTACACTAAGATTTCACCTCATTTCAGTCAGAATGGCAATAACACAATAATAATAATTAAGAACACAGATAATAATAAATGCTGGTGAGGATGTGGAGAAAAAGGTACACTCATACATTGTTGGTAGAGCTGCAAATTGGTACAGCCCTTCTGAAAAGCAGTGTAGAGATTCTTCAAAAAGTTAAGAATGGGACCACCATAAGACCCAGCTAGCCCACTTTTTGCTATTTATTCAAAAGAACTAAAATCAGCACACTATAGCTGTACAACCACTTCAATGCTTATAACAGCACAATTCACAGCAATCAAATTATGGAATCAGTCCATATGCCTGTAAATAGATGAATTGTTCAAGAAAATGTGGTATAGATACACAAAGGAGCTTACTCAGCCACCAAGAATGAAATAATGCCATTTGCCAGTACGTGGATGAAAACGGAGAACATCATGCTAAGTGAAATAAGCCTGACTCAGAAAATCAAGAGTCGACTATTTTCTCTCATATGGTAGAAGCTAGAATCAAATAAGAGAAAGAAGGCAGTGGAGGCAGGGATCAGATAGCATACAGACATAGAGAAGATCAGTGGAATAGAAGAAGGAGAACGAGAGGGAGGGAGGAAGGATGGGAACGGGGAAGAAATATGGAATGAATGCAACAAAAATCCTGCTTTATTTATTTATTTAAAAAAATATTTGTTTTTTAGTTGTAGATGGACACAATATCTTTATTTATTTATTTTTATGTGGCGCTGAGGATCGAACCCAAGGCCTCTCATGTGCTAGGCAAGTACTCTGCCACTGAGCCACAACCCCAGCCTGTGTTATACATATATATTTATAAAATATATCAAAGGGAATTTCATCTATAGGTATATGTAGAAAGTACCAATTAAAAACCATGGAGCAAAAGTAACAGAGGAAGGAGAATAGGGGAAGGGAAGTGAGGAAAAGGAGACGACAGGGAATGGGGAAAGAAATCAAATTCCTTGCATGTATGATTTTGTCAAAATGAACCCAACTACTATGTATAATTATAATGTTCTAACAAAAATATTAAAAAAAATTAAAATGGAAAAAAAAAGACTTACCTTTAATGTGAATCTTTTTAAAACAATACTGACCAGGTTTTGTTCTGCAGGTTCCAAAGTCCAAAAGACATCCATGGAAGGGGACTGAGAGATTGCATGATTTACAAGTCATACTTCCCTCAAGCTGGATTCCAGAGATGAAAAAACAATGGGAAAATAGTGCTGGATACCAGAGAGAAAAAATAGATGGGGTGGGGGGAAGGAGGAAGAAGAAAAAATAAAGAAGAGATTTTCAACTTTAAAAAGTAAGCAATATTAAACTTTTTTTTTCCAAAAACTCACATAAATTAAAATCATTTTGATATTCTAACAGGGGAAAAATTAAAGCATATGCTACATAAATGATTGAAAGCACCCTGAACTGATAGTAATCAGAAATGAGAACTAGTGGTTTAAATGACTTAGTTAAAATTTATTCATTAAATAATTTAGTGCTTCATTAAATCAAACCAAAGTTATTTCACTAGAGAATTTCAGCTGCATACTTGCTGTTAGGACTTCATTTCAATGCCTAAGGTAGCATATAATACATAATGGGTTCTTCATGAATATTTATTACTTGATTAATGTTTACTTATTGGTTATCTTCAATACTCAAATTTAGTGGCTCAAATATGTTATTCATTTTGTTAAGTAGATTGAGTTCTGAGATTCTTGATCTTAGGAAACACAAGTAAGATTGTAAAGGTGTTATCTAGAATATTGGTTTTCAAATTCCAATAGGCATCGGATTTATTTAAATGATTAAAATGAACAGATTACCAAAGACCCCACATACCTGAGTTAGAATCCATGAAAAAGGGCCCTGGAATTTGTATTTCGTATATGCTAAAATAGCTGAGGGCATATGATTTGGTCATAGATGTCTGGATTGTTATAGTATTGGAGAATCACTGGTTTTTCAATTACAGGATTGATTATAGTGCTGGAGAATCACTGGTTCTACTAGTTCAGGAATCCTTTATTAAAACTCATGCAGAGATCCTTGGTCAGTGATGAAGAGTTCAGCACCATCATCAAAAATGGTTCAGGGGTTGGGGATGCAGCTCAGTTGGTAGAGTGCTTGCCTCGCATGCATAGGGCCCTGGGTTTAATGCCCAACACCACCAAAAAAAAACAAAAAAACAAACAAACAAAAAAAAAAAACCAAAAACCAAACCCCTAAAACCAAACCAAAACAAGACAAAAAAACAACTCAGCTTGTTAAAAGATTCTTCTGTAATTGAGCCAAAATTTGACCTAGTGTTCACAGTTTCCATTTTTTAAATATATAATGACCACCACCTATTCACTGATAACCCCCCCAAAAGAGTAATTTATTAGACATTTTTTACAAGGTATTTTATATCTCCTGTGGGAGACCATCCTTACACGTGACTGAGTCACACTCCCTGGCTGGGTGCTGAGGCGCTCAGTCACAGAAATGTGGCAGAGCTTTCCCCACCCTTCTTGGGTTCAAGGGTCAGTGTCTTGTGCATGGGTGTATCTTGCCACAGCCCCACAGTTCCTTTGTAATATAATCCCTTGCCCTGTTTAGGATAGAATCTTCCATGGAAGTGCCTTGTGTGTGTCCCCTTCTCTTACTGTGTCCTTGGGTGTGGCCTACCCAGATGTCAGTCAACCTGCTGACAGTGGACATCATGAAGATAGACTCAGCCCCCTGAAACCTGACCCCTTGCCTCATTTGAATAGCTTCTCCTCAATAAAAGGGGTCAGTGCATGCTTTTGCTCTCTCTTTCTGCGGACCCTTAAGGTCAGAGGAGCCATCACAGTGACCCCAAAGAAAAAGGTATTTGTGTCTCTTGTGTGGTTATTTTTGCGCAGCCCAGTTCAATTGGAGTGACCTCTGAGTCTTTTAGTAACGAGAACAGAAACCTGGCAATCTCCTGCTCCTATATTGGAGTTAACTTTTAATAGAAAACAGACCAATGAGAATTGTTACCTTCTGTTGATTACTCTTAGGTTCAACCTCATCTAAGGGCACTTAAAAAATTTCACATTCTTTCTCTAGCTGATCATGACAAACTTTCAATCTTTAAACAATGACTGATAAACAAATATTTTTTTAAATGGAGTTTATGCTAAGGAGTCTGCTAAGCAATTTACATGCATTAGCACAATCATTCACCCAACTTTAATATCTTTCCACCATGTATCATAGTTTCTCTCATTTCATATAAAACTGAGGTCTTTTTTTTTAAATTTTTTAATATTTATTTTTTAGTTTTCAGGGGACACAACATCTTTGTTTGTATGTGGTGCTGAGGATCGAACAGGGGCCGCACGCATGCCAGGCGAGCGCGCTACTGCTTGAGCCACATCCCCAGCCCTAAAACTGAGGTCTTAATGGTTTGCTGAAGTGGCAGAGACAGAGGGCTTGTTGAAATCCAAGCCATTTTTGGCAAGTTCATGGTATCCCTAAAATTGCCAATCTTTTTAACCACTGAGCCACATCCCCAGTCCCCTCACCCCCCACCCCCTTTTTTTTTTGTTTTGAGGCAAGGTCTCAGTTGCTTAGGTCCTCACTAAGTTGCTGAGACTGGCTTTGAATCTTTTGAGCTTCCTGCCTCAGCTTCCCAAGCTGCTGGGATTACAGACATGTGCCATTATGCCTGGCAAAAATATTGACTCCCTCCTTTTATTCCCTTTGTTCTGGTTGGGGATAGTACTCAGGATCTTACATGCTAGGCAACAGTTTTAACAATGAACTACTCCTCAGCCTGCCCACCTTTTATGTGTACCAGACCTGATCAACCTCTTCCTGATGGAGACCTTGGCTCCTCCTGGATTAGGGTCTATTGATTACTAGATCACTGGCCTGGCTGTTTCTTCAAATCACCCAAATGAGTTTTCTTCTGGATTTATAATCACTCAATCTCACAACTTGCCCTTAGAGATCCGCCACATTACTTAGACCTTTGGCACTAGGAGGACCCAAGATGGAGTGCTCACATAATACTTAAATCACCCCGACTGGCTCCTTGCCTGAGGCCCCTGAACTGTTTCTAGATGAGACCTGTTGCAGGTTTAATCGCTCCCTCTCAAACTGTCCCACCTTCTGATTTCCCATTTTGAAGGTCCATAGCCTTTTTCCTCCTAAAACCTTGACTCTGATATCCTTCATTGCAAATGAAGATGATACCTTGGCTGCCAGCCCTTTTTGGTGACTGTCATTCTGCAGCTACTTGAATACTTACAAATATGTTCTCAGATTCCCTTTTTCTTTCTTCCAGTCTCCTTTTGTCTAAAAATTTACTGTAGATTTTATTAACATGTTTATTACATGGCAGATTCCAATTTGACACCTAAGATTAATGCTTTAGATTAGATGTAAGATGAATACTTTCCCTACATGAATAATTCTGATGTATGCTATTCTATGTATGACTTTTATTAGTGGAGGAATATCCATTTTTTTTGTGTGTGTATAGTCATATATAGCTATTATAAATTGTAAATGTCATATACAAATATATATATATACACACACACACACACACACATACATACATATATAGTTATATACAAATCACAAATATATAGTTATTCAAAAATGTGTTATATATCATGATGATGGTGACCTTTTTAAATACTCTTCATTTCATGGTCAGTGTTGAGAAGCAGAAGTTAAGTACTAACCACAAAATTTCTCTTTATGCTGGATTTTCTTCTTTTGCTCTCACATCTTCCTTTTTGTCCAGCAAAATTAATGCAATCCCCTGAATCCATTTTTCATGATATCCAAGGTACAGAAGATGTTTTCTTGTGATTTTTCACCTATTTGATGTTTTCAACTATTTTCTTGTGAGTTTTCACTGCCTCTCTTTAGACTGAGCTTTTCCTCTTGTGTTGGAGGCTAGCTGGCTTCCCCTATTTATGTTATATGCTAAGCATAGGGGGCATTTGAATTGTTGACCCCAGTATTTGGTACCAAACGTCTCCAAGTCTCAAAATTAGGGTTTTATTTATTCTGAGGTATCTTTCAGATTCCGCCTACTGAAGTGTGGTCTCAATAGTAGCAGCTTCAGTCACGTTTGGAAACTTGTTGGAGATGCAGAATCTTGGGACCTCAGGATTTCCCTGAGACCTACTGAATCTAACCCTCTCCATGTTGATAAGCTGTCCAGGTGACTCCCCCGTACATCGTGCTGTAGAAGCCAGCTTCTTTTGCTCCTTCATCTTTCTTCTTCTAAGAAATTCTGTTTAACTCTAGGTGCAATAAGAGAACATCTGTGCTCCTTGCCATCTTACCACTGTACTGAGAGGGAGAAGGATCCCATGTGGTGCTGGATCTTCCTTGTTTGGAGACATTACCTTTCTGAACACCCACCTAGTTTGAGGCACTTTAGGAATTCTGTAAAAGGAATAAAAAATTCCCTGGAACTCCTTCAGTGGTTTTTATAAATGAAGGAATGTTGGAGTCTGTGGAAATGAGCACTTTGAAGAGGAAAAGTGCTTGGAGGCCCTGGTTATGCTTTGTTTTTTGTTCCAATTAGTTCTCTCACTTTCCTGTATTTATACCAGTCTAGTTTGGTATGTGTGTTCTAACTTAGCAATAACTATAATCATCTGTGATACTCTACCAACTCAATTTCCTCCTCTATAAAATGGGGACAACAGCTGTCATGAGGATTACGTGAATTCATACAAATTAAATGTTTAGGATAGAACCCGAAATACAGTAAGTGATCAATAAATTTTAGCTCCCATTATTATTAGTTGAGTGCTTACTTAGGCCTTGTTATAAGAATGCAGAAGTTAACAGAGTCTTTTAAGAGGCAGAAGATGGTTAACCCAAGAGTAGGTCTGGAAGAAGCAGCAAGAGAAGGTGTTCCTACATTAGTATTTTTCAAATCACCTCATGTGAGGCTACCTTCCACTTAGTCATATTATAGTTCTGCTATTTCTTTTCTTTTAAGAAATTTTTTTGGAAGTTGTAGATAGACAGAATGCCCTTATTTATTTTTATGTGGTGCTGAGGATCGAACCCAGCGCCTCACACATGCTAGGCAAGCGCTCTGCCACTGAGCTACAGCCCCAGCCCTAGTTCTGCTATTTCTTATGTAATTTCTTAATAACTTACCACTCAAAAGGCAGAATGAGATGAAAACA